GCTTCCAGAGCACTTTGAGGACCAGCAGATTCATCTCTAAGCTGCCCTCAGCTGACTCACACTTGAGAGATGTGACCCAAACCACTCTGACAGGAAGTTACCGACCCATCAAAGCCCCCCAACCACCATGAACCCCCCAGGTGACCTCCATGGCCCCAGCAGGAGGGACCAGAGCCACCTTTGGTTTTCCCCTTATTCTTTAGTACCACCAACAGTATATTAACTCAGAGCTCCATCAGTTAGAGCTGAAGAAGCTTCTGAATCAGAGGACAAACAGCTTCTAGAAAACTTCACCTCCAGCTGAATAACTGGACTTTTCAGGTTTGACCTGGATGAGTGAGGATCCTCACAGATATAAACACGAACACATCTCATTTGGCAAACTCTGGACAGACGGGAGCCCAGAAGGCCTCAGAGTCCCTGGAGGCTGCTTCCTGCTGGGTCTCTGAGTGGAAAACAAGCTCAGGCTCCCCTAAACAAACCAAAGCTCAGTCGGATCAATGCCTGGACTGGACTGGTTGCTGTGGTAACACGTGACCTGCGGCGGAGGGGGCGGGGGGGACCTTCGACCCAACTGGGTCCAAAAAGCCCTCGGCTGCAGCTGCCTGATGAAACCCACCATGTGGCTGAGAGTCTTCGTCGGCTTCGTCTTGGGCCTCCAGGTCTGCCAGCTGGCTTCAGGTGCGGGGGGGTTTTCTTTATAGAGGCTCTTTAGATTTAAAATGTCTGTTTACAGATGTAATTAAATGTTTTTGCTATTTGGTTCTGAGGGTCCAAATGACTTATTTACAACATTTGAACTCCACAGTAAGAACACGATTGGTGTACAATGTCTAAAACCATTTCCCTTTAGATTTCAAACAGTAAAAAGCACTAAAAGCTGAGATTTTTCAGCTCTTTGAACACAATGATTTTCTTTCCTCTAAAAACCTAAAAATGCTGATTTTCCAAAAAATTTTCTTCATCCAAAGATAGTAAAAATCTGATTTGTAATGATTTTCTTTCATCTAAAGACCTTAAAAGATTAATCTCAATGATTTTCTTTAATCTAAAGACCTCAAAAAGCTGATTGTTCAATGATTTTTCTTCATCCAAAGACCTAAAAAGATTAATCTCAATGATTTTCTTTAATCTAAAGACCTCAAAAAGCTGGTTTTTCAATGATTTTCAGTTCCTTTCTGTCATTTAAAGAAAAAAAAAAAAGATTTTTCAGTGATTTTTTTAAATCTAAAGACATAAAAATTGCATCATCCTCACACATAAAAGGAAATCAGGAGGGAAACGTCTGCTTTTAAAACGAGACACAGAGAAAAACAGCAGCAACCGACCCACCGCAGACTGAATAGGATGTAAAAAGGCATCAGGTCTTCTGGGGCTGGAGGAGAAATCCTCCCACATGGCTGGAAACCAGTCCAATTCAGGACTCTTGGAATTGGAGCCGGATTTACCAACCTGCTGCCTCCAGTCAGGCTGCTGGTCCTGACCTGGTCTCTCCCCTTTTGCCAGCAGTCTTCCTGGACCCACAGCAGGCCCACGGTGTCCTGGTCCAGAGCCACGATGTCCTGGTCCAGAACCACGGCGTCCCGGTCCGGAGGCGTAGGTACAACTCGGGCTGGTTGGAGGAGCTCCAGAAAGGAGACCTGAAGAGGGAGTGCGTGGAGGAAAAGTGCACCTTCGAGGAGGCCAGGGAGGTGTTCGAGCACACCGAGCTGACGGTGCGACAGCCACAGGGAGCCTGAGGCCCGGCGTAGGGGGGGAGGGGCTAGTGGTCTCCAGACCTGACTCCCTGTTGGTGGGCCGTTCTCTATGTGGTCAATAGAAAAGGCGGGCCACCTTGAAGAGAGGTGGGCCACTTTAAAAAGGCAGGTCACCTTAAAGAGAGGCGGGCCACCTCAAATGGGTGGGACACCCTTAACAGGCGGGCCATCTTAAACAGGTGGGCCACCTTAAAGAGATGTGTGCCACGGGCCGGTCCACCTTAAGTGGTCACTGAAAACTATTAAATCTTAGGCACCAGGGGCCAGAGGGGCCCCCAGGGGCCCAGATTGGACCAGAGGGCCCAAATAGACCCAAAGAGGCCCAGAGTGGTCCAGAGAGGTCCAATGAGGTCCAGAGGGGCCCAAAGAGGCCCAGAGGGGTCCAGAAGGCCCCAGAGGGGTCCAACCTCTCAGAGACCAGCAGCAGCTTGAGGTCTGTTTGCTTTGCTCCTCTGTGGGGGGGCAGGGACTAACCTGTTACTCTCTGTCTTCTGCTCTCAGAAGGACTTCTGGAAGACGTACTCCCGTAAGAATCTTTTCTCTCTAGAGTTCAGTCGGGTGCTTTTGTCTGGTAAGCAGCGCTGCCATTTCTCAGCGGCAGCCGGGACCCTGAACCCGGCTCTGCCTTTGTCCTTAGTGCCCAACAGCTGTGAGTCCAGCCCCTGTCAGAACAGCGGCACCTGCCTGAGCGAGGGCGCCTCCTACACCTGCCTGTGTTTGCCCCAATTCAGAGGACTGGACTGCGAGCTGGGTGAGCACATCCACCAACACATCCACCCCCGTCCCGCCCTTTGGACCGTTAGAGGGCAGCTGCTGGCTCCAGAGACCTGCTCCAGAGAGGGTCACTGCATTAGATCTCAACTTAGAGATTTGACAAATAGACATGAGTCGCCTTAAAAATATGGACCAAATTAAACTGAGCCACCTCAAACAGAGAGGGGCCACCTTAAACACAGATGTGCCACCGCAAACAGAGATTGGTCGCCTTAAAGATTTCGGACACTTTAGGTGTTGGGTCACCTCAAAAAGGGGGTCCATCCTAAAAAGAGATGAGCCACCTGAAACAGCCGGGCCACCTTAAACAGCTGGGTTTCCTTAAACAGGTGGGTCACCTTAAAAAGCCTGGCCACCTTAA